ATTATTTTTATTATACCATTTTGAAACTTCTTCAGGATTCGATCTTTGATTCATTTAGAGCTTTCTTAGTGATTGATATGACTTATATTGTTCATTCTAGGATACGTTTTTGGATGATATTCACAAACCTTTAGTCCCTTTTCATATCTTTACCTTGTTTTCTATGGAAAGAAATTGCTCTGTTAAAATTTACAAAGCTTGTTGGCCTCATTCTTTTCTTTTTTTACTTTCTACGAGCCTATAACGTAATACTGGAGAGAATTTTACAGACAAATATGGCGAAATGAGCAGACGGACCAAAAATTTCAAAAAAGAAAATGTTAATGAAAGAGAAAAGAGGATGTTGTTTAAATTTTCAAGTAAGAAATGTCAAAATAGTAAAGAAACTAACTTGAAAAAATGGTTGAATTGGTATGAAATGCAAGTATGTTGTTTGACCTAGTAAAGAGAAAACGAAAGTCATGATTGTTGTTTTTATTCCAGAGTGAATTATACATGTAAATATAAATTTGTAATTATTTAAAATGTTAGATTCATTTGTTTTTACGGGGGACACGGATCTAACAAATGATATGACATAAAAAATTTCCATTCTCAAACCTGAGTTAAAAATGAAGACGGGGAAGAGCGTGAAGGGTTGTCAATATTGGCACTAAATTTTGCATCATTCAAATGTGACGGATAAGTCAACAACAACATAAATTGTTGTGAGAAATTAAAATTATCAGATTTTTTTGGTACATTTTATACCAAACAAAGCATGAAATGTATAGAATATATTACATGAATATAAGCCTCATGTGTCGTCTCAGCCATTATATAGGAGTGAGCACTTTCATAAATACTTGTATAGCACAAGATCTCCTACACTTTATCCTCTAGTCTAATGCATGAGACTGAGCTACGTACCAAGGTGTGTAGAAGTCACTGACAGTACAACACATTAGAATAATTCATTTTGAGGAAGAAAATGGTTTTACGGCATGATGGAGTATTCAGGAATATAATAATTGATAATGCTAACCGTGGAAGCTGTGTCAAATTAACAAGATAACGTATGCTACATCTTAAAATTTATAAATTCAAACGGTCTGAAAGAATAATCAGATGAGTTCTTTTATGCTGGCTTCAATTATTTCATAGCGTTATTACCTTCGTTAAGTCATTCAGTATGCATTTAACTCACCAGGTAAAGGTCAAGGCGCGCGTAATATCAGTCATATTGCTTCTTATTGATCGCAAACGAAATGGTGAAGGCTGTGTGCAATTCCAATTGAACGAGGAGCTTACGCCGAGTCGAAGAGGAGCTTACGCCGAGTCGAATACGAATTTCATGCTAATATGATTAATCTCGTGTATCGACTAGAAAAAGACTTTGCTCTATCCAAAACACATTAACTGAAATAACGGTGCGAAGACAATGAACATTATTCAAGGGAATAGTTTTTAACTTGACTGAAATAATGGTGCGAAGATAATGAACATTATTCAAGGGAATAGTTTTTAACTTGACTGAAATAATGGTGCCATTTACTCGCGGACCTGGATTCGAAACTCCATAGAGTACAAATTTAATTTATCTAACCTGTCTGATAGTATTGTTTGTATTGACTATATATATATATATATATATATATATATATATATATATATATATATATATATATATATATATATATATATATATATATATATATATATATATATATATATATATATGTATATGTATATATATATATATATATATATATATATATATATATATATATATATATATATATATATATATATATATATATGCAAAGTGGTAGTGTTGTTGTCGTTGTTATTTGATGCTTTGGGTAATTAAAAGCTGGTACTGGATGATATACGTGATATTTACATGGATAGTAATTGAAAAGCGAGTTATAGATTATAGGGATGTGTGTTTGGGTAGTATGTGCAATGTGCTGCACTTTAACGGTGTGTATTTGCTTTGTATTTATCAAATTTTGACATAACCATTCAAGACTTTTGACCCTAGAGTAACATTCCTTTGTTGAGCCAACGGACCCATTTAATACACGATTCATATAATTACCCTATACAGTCCCCCCCAGATTGACCCTTTGACCATTTTAACACAGAATTTCCTGTTGACAGCAAAGTTCCCCGTATATTACCTTTCGGTACAATGTCATTTCCCTTATGAATCCCCATCTTCCTATACAAATAAATTCATATTAAAAAAGAATCAATATACAACATTGATTTTTTAAATGAGCTTATTTTTTAGTTTTTGTTAATGTCAAAATATATTATATTCACTATTTTTTGTTGTTGTTTTGATACGGTAACATAAGCACTTCCATCGGCATTTATGGAAAGGAATTCACCGAAATCAGGCCTTACCAAACATATCTCAAAACTTGATCAATTGACGACAAAATCTCTTGTCCCCGGGTCTGTTCTTATAATTAATACAAAGAATGAGACCTTGCATAACCAGAACCACACACATCATTTCCATAACAGAATTTTTTTCCACATCGGGTTTGTTTATAGGTTGTTAAAGAGTTCTCATTTTATTTATTTTCCATTTCGTTTTAATTTGGTTTTAAAAAAGGCCTTTTCGAGCGGACTGTAAGCAGCTCTAATTGCATATATTTATGAGGACTAAAACTAAAAACTGTAATGATAATGTGCCTTATTAAATCCTGAATTAGTCAGTTTTGCTGTTAAATACACAGCTAAAGTACCAGCCTGTGCCAGCATGGAATATTGTTTGCAGTAAGTGTAATAGTTCTTTCCTTTAGATCTGACGAATTCAAACCATGGATATGGATCAACGCAATTGAGATGGGCATTTTTATGTTTTCTACAGGTATCTAATTTGGCCTTATCTGATGCTACATAGCCTGGTTTATGTTTCTTATTGGGGTATAGGACACACGGTACTAATTGTTTGGACAAATGGGAACACTTGTGAAATGGGTGAATAGAGTATATATGGGTTTGGGTGGACTGGATTGGTCGATAATAGAAGTTAATTTATAAGAAAATAGACCTTATTCAAGTTGTAACTGAAAAAATCAGAACATTGTTTTCTTGATATAATTTCAGTCTTTAATCCGTCTTGAGCTTGAAACACTCGTTACTGAAATTAGCACCTTACTCTTTAGTGCGGAATTGAAAGCACATGTTTTAAACACATGTTGATCCAAGAATTGCAATGGCTCATATCCTTTTCTCAACACAGAAGCTGTCACACAGATTTCATCTATACCGATAAATATAAGTTTGATCATCCACACTCAGAAATATAAATTTACTGATTTTTTAATATCATGGTGTTTGCATATGCTTACTGTAAGAACTGAATTAATACCGTGTTTCCTATAGTTACCTAAGATGCAGTGGCAGACTTAAGAGTGATCCATCCACTATTCAATGAATTGTCTTTCTTGTAATATACCGTATGATCCTCCTTGCGAAAATAATTTAGTAAACTTATTTAAAAATTAAGAAAAATCACCTAATTTCTCTACATCTACTAAAGCGATCATAACATGCAGCATGTTGTTTAAATGCAAGCACAAACTGCTTCAGAATAATTTTATTGCAAAGCGCAAATTCCATCCTCATGTTTAAAGTATCAACTTAATACATACAACTAGATGGATGTAAAGTATAACAAAACCACCCGCAATTTAAATAAAACTTGGTCTAAGCAAATTGCATTGTTATTCATGTTTTTACAGAATTTAAAAAAAAACTGAGAAATTATGACGCGCTATAGCCCATAATTACTCTATTCTCATTATTGAGAATGTGCGTAGAGTAGCGTTGTTGTAAACCTTATCTAGGTAACTGTTTGGAGTTGTATTCATACAGAACACCAGAAAACAGGATAAGACTTAAGCAATTGCAAATGTATCGTGTGATATTTATCTGGATTTGTGAGAGAGTGCTATTAAGCTAGAAGAAGCTTATTGCACTATTTAAAATTATTATTATGATTAATATTTATTAAACATTTTCACAGAGTAAACATACACCACATATAATCCACTGACATAAACTACAAACACAACTCAGTCATCAAATGATGTATTTAATAGGACGTTTTTCATGTATCCAACAAATAATTGCATTGCTCACTGGCAAGGCGTCATGACATGACATTAAACGTAAAAGTGTAATATTAATAGTGTTGAATTGAACACATATATTTGATGAGTGAAACTTTTCAAGGAAATTTATTTTTTAGAAACGTGTATAATCATGTAATAAATATATTGGTAAGTATGTTCTCATAAAATATAAAATATATAAAAGTGTTTTTAACATTGTGAGCAAACAAAACGTGAAAAGTAGATACGAATTAAACGTGTTTAATAAATTTAATATGAATTGAACTCTGTAATATGCGTTTCTATGTTTATTAAAACCTTTTCTTGAGCATACATAATTTACAAAATTTGCATTAGCATATCGTTAATTAATATTGTACATTTGATTTCACAAATTAAATTTCAACAAATGTCGATTACATAAAACCTCTTTATTTACAATTTATGTAACTATACAAATTGATGACATAATATAATATAAAAATATGCAATGTACAAACACCTGAATTTTGTGAACAGATTTTGAAAAGTTTGCGAAGTGAAAGCAACAAACTGAATAACATGAACTGATAGTTTAGTTGCGCCATATACTCCTTATGGATATAAAATAGATGTTTGTGTGTGTGTGTGTGTGTGTGTGTGTGTGTGTGTGAGTGAGTTAGATTTTTAACGTAGCTTTAAAATGTTTTCAGTAATATCGCTACAATGTTTGTATTGTATCAGTTTATAGTGATGTCTAGCACCGGGGCATCATGCCTCAGACATGTGGCATGATGTCCCACCCAGTCACATTATCCTGACACCAGGCCGATCAGTCCTAATACTAACCTCTTAATGTTGAGCGTCAAGCGAGACAGCTGTTAGTACCATTTTATAAGTCTTTTGGAATGACTCGGCAGGATTCGAACCTATAACCTCCCGCATCCTAGGCGGATGCTCTAATCACTAGGCCATACAGTTTTTCTAGTGGCATTTTCTATATTTTCCTAGCGGCTTGATTAACGCTTCAAAATGCACATTGGCCCATCAATTATTATTTAACTATTACATGTTGCTATATTACAAGAAGAAAAACGCCCGAGCTGGAATACTAAGCTACTCGCCTTCATTTCAAAGTTTCGAATAGTCAACATTTTTATTTTTGGTATCATGACATTAAATTTTTAATGGTACTATGACATCAGTGATCAAACTTGTTGCTGTCTTGGCCGAATGCGAAATTCCTAGAAATTCACTGTTTAATCATCGTCTTGATAAATGGGTTAAGATGCACATTGGTCTGACCATAGCTCTATACTAGTTGAGTTAAGAAGATTTGCTAATCATACTGAGGAACAGATATTCCATTTACATAAGTACAACCACATAACGGTAAAGCATGTCTGCTGTAAATGCTTTTTGGAACAAACCTATTTACAATCACAGAGTATAAGGTTATGACCGACTTGTCTAGTTCGATAGCTATGAGACACTGTATAAACAAGTCTTGAATATAATACAGCGACATGATGCTATCTTACAAGAATGAAAAAGCCCGAGACTGGATTACTATGTTACACGCTCTCATTTCATGGTGCCATATAGCCAACATTCTGTAAATATGAACCATGACATTAATTTTCCGTGGTGCTGTGGCAACGATCAACGATCAAGCATACACGTGCCGTGGCTAGATGCGAGACTCCCAAAGATTCACTCTTCTATCAACGTACTGAAAATAGTATTGTCAATATGAATGGAGAATAGTATTGTAAATATGAATAGAAAGTACAAAAAGATGCTTGAATGTTTAAAGACTGTCTACAATTTCATTTCCCTATTCCCCAACTTGAACAGTATTGTCCATGTTCTTGTGAACGTTCTCTACATTAGTTGTCCATTTGTATCGGTCTTTATCTTGTCGTTTAGATTATAATGCAACTTTAAATAAATAAGCGCTCTTAAAATATGAAACAATGTGTGATAAGTATTGACATGTGAGATATAGAGATACAAATAAAGTAGTAACTAAATTATATAGACTTTCTTTATTCCGCTTATCAAATAAACTTTTTAAAGTAATTATTGTCATGATGCATTGATTTGTAGCATTGCAAAGACTACGTGTTGTTTCTACCAGAGTATAGAATAAAATTAATAAAATCTTAATGCCTTCATACATGATTCAAGCAGGGAGACAATTTAGAAATAAACGTACCACTGAGGTCAGACGATGTTACACTGCAAATAGTCAGGGTAGAATCGTTCACTTTGTTCTTCCTATCATAAAAAGAAAGTTATGCAATTAACAAGATGCAAGATCTGAATCCGGAGCACAAAGTAAAATTGATGTAGCTAAACCTCAGCTCATTCCGTACAGCATCGCGAATGATATTCGCGTATGTAGCTCAATGAATTTTCAAGTTAGGGTGATTCAATGTCGCTAAAAGTAACTGATTTGTTACGAAAAGTGTTAATACCGCTGGAATCGACATAGAGGGAAACATATTTCATTTAATACATGCTAAAATGTTGATCTGTTTACATCGAGTTTTTCTATGAATCCATAACCCATGGAAGAGACAATTTGTTTATCATTTAGTGATTATCTTTCCTAATCGGCTATATTCCGATATAATAAAATTACCTAACTTTGGTTTTCTTTCAGCATCAAAAATGGACTCTTCCATAACCGATGACGTGTACAGAGATCAGGTTTTCAACGTGTATCGAATGAATGGTGTTGGGACGTGTGTCAATATGAATAACGTTTGAATCATCCTTGCACGAAACGAATTGAATAGTTTTGGAGACGTTGACAACAAAAATCAAACCGAAAGTGAAGTGGATCTTTCTTGCAATGATACGAGGAACAAGCTATAACAGCTTCTACCGATGCATGCTTACACATTCAAGTTTTTCTTATAATGATAACTGATTGAAAACATTCATTCAATTTATCATGACGAAAAGCAAATCAGTGGATATTACCTTCTCTTCTTTCTTTTCAAGAGTAAAACGATGATCACTAGAGCAGGAATCGCAAGAGGCAGCAAGAGTAGAGGTATTATGAACTCAAGTTGAGCTGAAATATGGAAATGTTTCCGTCACTACTGTTGTTTGACATTACTGTCTCATGAACAAATTATGATAAATTGTCAACTCTGTAATGTTTTTTTTAATTATGACTACAAATATGGTAATTTTTTATGCAAGTAACAAATAATTATTGATTCGTTATCCCCCAGTATATCCATCATTACAAGCAAATGCACCATAAATGTATGTGTTATTATAATACAGTTTTGTGCAGACGAACTTTTGTTCCTTTTTGAGTTTGAGTTGTACTTTAGTTAGGGTTGCAGTTGTTTTGTAGTGGCGCAACAAGAACAAATTCTGGTTGGGTACCTGCATAGGAAATCTTAAAGTAAGTAATTTTGAAGATAAATGTTAAATTTTCTATTGACTGATTGCTCGATAATTCTTTATTAGTGTAATTTACACGATTGTATGTGGCAATCATCTTTAATGCGATTGAAAACATAGAGTTTCTCCTGATATTCAATCCTTTCTGAATGGTGGGAGGATGCAAGAACAAATAGGTCAGATAAATTAGAGAAATGTGTGTGCTATAAATGTTTTATTTACATAATATATCTGTCATCTTTGGAGAATATAATTCATATTCATGATTGTACCATAATGCATTGCAGTGCGTTTCATTCGACATAGTTCAGGAAAGCACATTGACCATGTTTATTATTATTATTAATGTTACTTTATATATTTTACTTGCCATTAGAAAGAAGAACATTGGTTAGTTCATTGGATAGCAAGAAGAACATTAGTTAGTTCATTGGATAGCAAGTACAGATTTAAAAACTTAATAAAGTAAATACAAGAGAAAATGAACACGAGAAAGTTGGTATGATTATGATTTTTTTCCCTATCCTACTGTATGACTAGAGTGCATTGCATATACTTCAAAATGTTTCTATGGTAAGAGGTTGTAAATAGGTGACAATGTTGATGATATTGATATTTAAGAAAAACAAGAATTGGAAAGATGATGAGGTGATTATGGTGGTGTCTACAATAAGTATTACGGTGAAGAATAAGATGATTGGTGATGCCAACGACAACGACAATGACCATAATGATGAAGAATAATAAAACAGTTGGAAGAGAAAAAACATGATTTGTTACAAGAGTAATATGATATGTGATTCTAGTTTTGCAAATAATTGAATTGTGAGAAAGCGCGATGCAAACAATTTTTAGAAAATCATAACGCATGCATACGTACTATCAATAACATGTTTGACAATGGAGTCTGAATGTATAATGAGTAGAAACTTCCGCCCCAACCCGACGGCCAAAAGGCATTCACAGAATGCAAACAGTACTAATGCATGTTCCTGCATGTTTACAAGAGAAACATTTACATTGAAAGACGTTTTAAATTATGATTGACAAACTACTTTACAGAAACACCAGATAAAATGATGCAATATAGCGGAACATTTTTGTTGTTGAAAGAATCCAATAACATGTTTGCATATATAGTGCTTACTCTCGTAAGTGTTTGTTTATGGAAAAGAAAGATAGAGCACACAATTATAACCAACAGATTCACAAGTCAAAACTTCATATGTAAAGATTTGCTCTCAAAATATAATTTGCACAAATTAATGAAAATCAATACATATACAGATTCCGATAATAATATCCTAATTATGTTTGTGCTAAATTTTACCATCAGAACAGTTATTTCCGGTCCAACCAATTGGACAATTGCAGGAGTAAGACCAAAGTGTATTCGTGCAAGTGCCACCATTTTGACATGGATGAAGGTCGCATTCATTGATGTCTGAAACTGATCATGGTAGAGAAATATTGATAAACATTGACGCCAATTGATGGAAAACATTTCACTACAGATAATTGGTGATAATGAAACTAGAAAACATTTCACTTCGAAGAATTTGATAATGAAACTTTACAACAAAAATTTCTGAATAGAACTAAAAACTTCCGAAATAACGTCAAATAAATCTGAAAAAGAAATATTATCTGTAAATATATTATTTATTTCAAAATATTATGATTTCATAATATTTTACATAATGGAATGTTAGTTGTAAGAATATCTGCTATAGTACAAGTACAAAGATTAGTTTATGAAACTCTAATTGACCTTGCAGCAGTTCTGTTGCTGACTTATTTATAGCCTAATACATGTTGTTTTCTGATCATTCTTTGAACACAGTTAAAATCCCGATATACTTTTCATGGAGACAAATCGGAAAACTTTTCTGACCCTCTTTTTGTAACAAACTTTACAATCACCTTCTTCCTAACCCATGTGTTGTCACCATAATAAGTGGTTTACTGAATGAACTTTAAATGTTAACCAAATAATATTATGTTGACTGAAATGTCTCTCCAAACAGACATTTAACTCAGAAAACAACGAAAACTAAAAAAAAATACCTTCCTTGTCGACGACAAACATGCATCTCTGTTGACTTGTCAAGCTGTTGAGAATAATAATAATAATAATAATAATAATAATAATAATAATAATAATAATAATAATAATAATGATGAGGATATAATAATAATAATAATAATAATAATAATAATAATGAGGATAATAATAATAATAATAATAATAATAATAATAATAATAATAATAATAATAATAATAATAATAATAATAATAATAATAATAATAATGAGGATATAATAATAATAATAATAATAATAATAATAATAATAATAATAATAATAATAATAATAACCGTCATTATTTATAACAACATGAAAAATGATAAGTCGAAGATGATGATTTCGAGATAATGGTTAATGGAAATGATGATGGCAGTTAGCAAACCAAAAGTATTAATTTGCAGCTGAGATTTATAGTCTTTTCATGAACGGAAGTCTGGTTTGGGTTTTAACGGCACAGCAACACAGTT